TTTTACCTGTTGTATTTTTCTGCCACTCATTGAGCCACTTTTATCAATAACAAAGACGACATTCTTGGGTATTCTGGCAAGGTTAGATGGAGCAAAGTGATGGACAAAGTATCCATCCGAAGTCTTAAAGGAAAGAAGAACTACATGTTAATGAGGGATCAAAATATGATTTTCAAGATAGTAGGTATTTTTGGCCATTTTTCAACAACATATTCATAAATGAGCTGCTAATAGGCAGCTATTATTTTCAGGAGTGTTTTACCTTGATATCACCCAGCCCATTGTCTCGATTGACGTCATATGAAATGACCAGATCTCCATTCATACCTTGCTCTCCACAGCTGTCGCAGGCTCTTTGTTGGTCTTCTGTAGGATAGAAATATACCCATGCCTGAAATATAGAAAAGTGGGTTTTATATATTGCACAGTAAAAGATTTTGCTTTTTATTTGTGTTTTTATAGTATTTTTACATTTGCACATTTTTAAGTGCTTTGGATATTAGCTTCCACTTACTTCCTAATGCATACTGGAGAACTAGTAGTTGTTATATTGTACCCCTATTTTTTGGTCCAAAAAGTTATTTTGGACCAATTTGTTGTGAGTATGTTTTGGGGATTTAAATAAATCCTTGGTATATTGTACTGTATACACTTTACAGTACAGTATTTTATTGTTTAAACTTTAACCCTTCACTATTATGTTATTCTTATGCATTTTTCTAAGGTCCACATTTGTGTGACCATTTTTTCTGTAATATTTTTGCTTTTATAAATACCAGAATTTTCCCATTGTGGGACAATGAAGGGATTTTCTATTCTACTATATTCTGTATGGGTCTTTTTTACAATAAAAGTCTTTTAATAAAAAAAAAAAAAAAAAACGACAGACAGTCATGAAGAGGACAGAAAACAGATCCGATTTGGCTTTGGAAGAGTTATAACAACGTCGCAGCAATTTTATTCCCATAATTCAAGTTAAAAATGGTGATTAATATGCATACACTCCACAATTCACGTTGGGACTGCTTGAACCTCCCCTATTGCCACAGTGAAGGCTCTCATTTCAAGAAACTGCCTTCCATTGAGTGTTTCCTTGCTGCACCTGGTAATAACTCTTAAGATCTGCTTATAAAAATCAGAGAATATATAATACTACTTGTATAGCATATTGCCATTTAAGCCAATTGGTAATAAAAAAAAAAAAAAAAAAAAAAAGTGAGCCAGGAATAGACCAAGCGTGGCCCGAGTGGGGTCGTTGGTGGGCTAAGTTGATGGTCATTAAACATTGTGTCATATTTTATTT